CCCCCCCCCGGGGGATTCGGATTTAGTGTACTCCACAACTTGAAAGAGAGAGAGTGTGTGTGTGAGAGAGAGATTTTTGAATAATGGAATGTACAAACAGAATCTGCTATGGAATATTGAAACATTTCAAGAAAATGAGAAGCCTCTTTGTTCCTGGAAAGATGCTATTCTTTCTTTTGCTCTGTTCCTGCTGTTCTTTCATGTACAGAAACATAGAGTCCACTGATCTATCATATAACAAATGCAGCAGCAAAATGGTTAAAGAGCAGAGAAAACCAGAAAAAGATCCCAAATTTTCATTCACCAGAAGATTAGATAGTCCCACCATCTTGGGTGAACCAAAAGGGCCAGAGATTCATAATAGGAAGAGACACACAACGTCCAAAAAGCAACCACTGATTAAGATGTCTAAGTTTGGAATATCAATACAAGTTGATAACCTAAGCATTGGATAAGATAAGAGCCTGTGAACGTGGAGGGAAATGCCTCACATCACATGGGTCCTTGTAAGAATCATGAGCTTCTACATAAAATTTCAGAGTTTACTTTATCATGGATATACACGACATATGTAAACACTATCACTTAGACTACGAGGTATCCTTGTATATATTTTCTCCTGTCTCGTAATGAAAAGCGCATGATATTCAAGAACGAATCTTAACGTTACTCCCATTTCTCACGTCCATATCTGTTCTCCTTACGCTAAGCCGAAACGAACTGATAAGACCCCAAAATGCTACAATGGTTATGGAAAACAGAAGAAAGAAAAAGGATGGTTCATGTTCCTATATACGCACCTACGATATTTCCGGGCCAACCATGTGCATTGGTAATGCAGAAAACACTGAGAAAACAGAGAGGTAATAACATTTTAATCACCAATAGAATAGAATAGAATAGAATAATCAGGTCAACAACTACGGTATTGTACTTTTTAATCATCAAGTGGACTACGGTTGCTAAACTAGAACATGGAAAAGCAAACAAAGAACAAACAAGAGATGTGAAGAACCACCCAAAGGGTAGTAGTACGGCATCCTATGCACTTCTTAAGGGAGATAATGGCATAATAAACGGACCATGCAATATAATATAGTATAATTACGGTCACTGGTACATCACGTTTAAGTTAATCAATTCCCCATTATTGCGTTCACATGCAATACGTTCATCCCCAAAAGAGTACGGCAAAAACAACAGACCGTTCCTAAATCAACCGAGAAAGATATGATCATCGATCAAAGAACGGGGTCAAAGTCAAAATGGAAGCAGACGAGATCCGATAAAACGGAGGGTGCCATATGACACGTGTTACCTGAGATTATGCGATCACACATCTAATGATAATCAGCTAACATACATGTGCATCTATCTCCTGACCTGATACCGAGGACAATGAATGAGCAACTGGGAGGGAATATCATTATATGTTTCTAGAAAGACAGCAAGATCCAGCAACTGACCCACAACGCCCTTGGAAACTGAAAAACCATTGGAAGTGTCACCTCAATAACCATAGTTTACTGCATTAGAGAGATGGGTCTTCAGCTCGTGAGCTAAAGGACAAATAGAATAGTTTTTGTTTTTGTTTCTAAGGCACTTGACAACGAGTGTTTCTCCTGGTCATGGATGTATATAAATATGCAAAGAGACTCAGCCTATATGCCCTGATGGCGGCTCTGGCTACTACATGACAGCCAAACTCATTCCAGACAAAAAAAAAAAAAAACAGACAGGGAGATTTTCGTTATTCAGTGATTCATTGACATGAAGAACATAAACAGTTTCTGTATGAACAGAGGATGGGATTATACATATGGCTGTATAGTAGAATCCCTACTCGTCCTGTTGACACTATCGTTAACCCATCAATCCAACAAGTAAACATCAAAGATCTATGCAACCTTTACAAAAAAAAAAAAAAAAAAACACAGAGCAACACATGCTTCCACGTCAGGATCGCCGCCCTAAACAGTTTCTGTATGAACAGAGGATGGGATTATACATATGGCTGTATAGTAGAATCCCTACTCGTCCTGTTGACACTATCGTTAACCCATCAATCCAACAAGTAAACATCAAAGATCTATGCAACCTTTACAAAAAAAAAAAAAAAAAAATCACAGAGCAACACATGCTTCCCAGTCAGGATCGCCGCCACATTCCCATCCTTCACCAAAATCATCTCCCGTATCCAACAATTCTCGTCAGATTACGCCAAAATAAACTCCCATGAATTTCGAAATTCAGACAATTAAGATTACGTTCGACGAACGGTTGGTACCTGCTCTCGGAAACGGAGTTCTTGTTGCTCATGAAGAAGGAGCACAATTAAAGGGATTTACGAGCCGCCGGAGTCCCCAAGTGTGCATTGCCGGAGACGGCGATGGCATGAAAATAAAGAGAAGCCGGAGGGGGACATGCTATCCACAGCGCCAAGTATTTCTTCCGCTCCCTCGGCAGTGTCATTGTCCAAACTTCACGGCGGTTGAATTGCTCCCACTTGATATTGGGCCCATATGGGCCTTGAAGGGAGTATACGTAAAGGTCAATTTTACATTTAATTGGGCCTATATGAGCCTACAAAAGGATACAGTTTCATCTTTTGCAACAACAAAAGCTGCATCTTTTCATCTAATGGTGTTCGTAGCACTTCACCAAATTAAAACAATGGCCACACAATTGTGTGTGTATATATATACAGCACAAAAAGCAATATGTATTTGTTATAGTTGTGTTCTTGAAAACACAAGCCTTTTATGTTAGGTTAAGGTTATCCAAAACCCAAGCCCGAATCCAAATCCGAATGGAAAACAGTCAAAAACTCGAATTCGAAATTTCGGATACTGCCATGGAAATGTAAATGGAGAATCAGATCCTGAAGCCACTACTAAGAGTTCCTTCTGTGTCAGAATCTTTGGTTTGGGACAGGAGATGGGGGCTTGGAGCATTAGTTCTCTCTCCACCATCAATTGTCATTTGATTTTGCCCTTTTACTTGGTTTGTTCCCGATCATGATCAGTGTTTTAAACCCAAGTCCTGTCTGAAAATTCTAAATCATATCCAGGAAGAGTTCACTGGATACAAGGTTTTTGTGATTCGACCCCACCCTCAAACCCCGATTTTCATATATCGTAGCCCGGGAAATATCGGCAGCCTTGCAGGCACTGTCGCCCGCATTGGCGAGACAAGATCGTGATTCTGGCCAAACCACGATTCAATCCAGTTCTTGATACCAGTGACCTTGAAGCAAGGAATGATGGGCATGAAGAACGAGTTTATCTTACTCTGTTTCCATTATTCCTTCAACCAAATCTACCAGATAGAATGTACAGTCATGTTCTTGATGCTTCCTTTCATATCGAAGCTAACGTAACATTGCACATAGTAGTTCTCCGTAACGAGAATCACAACACACCGCAACCTTATTTTTCTCATTTGGCGAAGAAAACCACTGACCTCTCCTCGTCCGGGCATTATTTACTAGTAAGAGCGAGCTCCGAAGACCCGAGAAGCATTAAGAAGCATCTTGCCGGAAGAATGTGTTGAAGGTATCGATCCTCGTCTTTCCCTCCGGAAGCTTCATCCCTTCTACAAAGTTCTTGGTCGCCGTCAAGAAACGTCCCATGTGGAGCCGCTTCCATTCCTAGCAATCCAACATATCACAACAACTGTTACTCCTCTCATTCTGGTAGGCGAGATGTGAAAGCAGCAAACTTTTTCTATGCATACATGGATCATTAGGAAGAACATATAACTGTTGTTACAAAGAAATGGTACCATATCTATGAAATTCTCCAAAAATCTCATCTAAACACTCACCTGACAAGCTCATCTACCAGCAATTTAAATTGATAAACCATTGAAGAAGAGAAGCCGAGAAAATCTGCAAACAATAACAATTCTAACCTCGAAATCCCACTCTCCGTAAAGATCCGGATCATCTTTGTTGCCCCATACGTAGGTTTCGACCTGCATCTTCTCCGAAGTATCCTGCACGCGGAAGAGCATCGGCTTTTTACAATCAGAATCTGATCAAATTGTAGATATAATCAGAGGTGGTGTGGTATGATGTTATGCCATATATATAACACAGTACACTCACCGTCAAGACAACCTCAACTGTCTTCCTGTCATATTCAACATCCTCAAACAAATCTAACATCTTCAGTTCATCATCTGTTAAACCCTTCAACACCTGTAACCAAACCAGTTTCGACGTCATTACGGTTTCCATAAGAATCACATAGATCATAACGAATACGAGAGCTTTCTAAGAAAGCAAAAACCCACAAAAGGAAAAAAAAAAAAAGTCTAACCCATGAACCATCTTCCAAAATTACGCAAGGGATTGAATTCCATGATCCTAATTTCAGCAAAATCGGAGCAGGAAATGAAAGGAAAGGAGGATCCGAGACAGAGAAAGAACCTTTCCGGGGATTTTTCCGTTCTCAGACGGTAGAACTGCCGGATAAACACGACCTTTGAGCCTAAACCTGTGACTGCAATTTCAAAAAATCGCAGTGAATCTCCAAGAAAATCCAAACCCCCACCGAATATCGATCGATTGAGAGAGAGAGAGAGAGAGAGAGGTACAAGCCGGGGAGTAAGGCGGAGACGGAATCGGGAGCGCGATTGAGGAGCAAGCGAACGACGTCGGGCTCCTGGAGACCGCCATAGACGAAGAGGTTGTGCTTTGCTTCTGAGCTGCTCATCTTCTCTTCCTTTTGGGTTTGTTTCAGTTGCGGTGTCTGCGTCTGAATTTGCATGCCGACATGACATTATATACAGAGCCGAAGGAGCCTCGTGATAAAATAAGAAAGGAATGGCTTATAGTATTTGTTTAAAAAAAAAGATAATTAAAATCCATAACGTATTATAAATTTCAAACAGTTATCATCATAATATTAATAAATTAATTTTTTTCTTATAATAATTATAATTATATAAGCTAAATCATCATTGTTACTTTTTTCTCTCTCTCGTTATCTTCCCTAAATTCATTTTCTAATTGATTAATTATTAAATTCTCCGACTATTCTAATTCTACCAAAAATTCTTTTTTTTGGGGGTTCGATTAATTAAGGTATGAATAAAAGCTGAATATAAATAACGTAAAAATAAGTTGATTGTACAGTTCGTTAAATAAAAAACTAACATATAAGTTTGCCAAAAATTTTAAATTATCCAAAAAATCACATTTTAATTTAATTTTTAAAGATACACAAAATTACATTTCTAACGTATTTTTTTAAAATTACTAAATAAAAATATCTTTGATTCGATATTGTAAATATTAATTTGATAAAAAAAAGTTAAGCTGGATTGAGATAATTATAATTTTAAGATTTATCTTTTTATTAATTGTGATTAATTTTTTAATAATATAATAGATCTAAAAGGGCAGACCAAAATATAAAAAAAAAAGACGCTATGATTGAAGGGGGTCGTGGATTGATACATTACCATTAGCACGGCTCTGGTTTATATTATAATATTTATAAAATACCAATCATTACTTCTACGTCTTCCTCCTTTTTCAAGTTTCAATCGAAATCGAATTTGTCCATCTTACAACAACAACAACAACAAGACATGTTTCAATTATATTTCATTGGATTGGGAAGAGAAGTGGTATCACAATCGAAATCGGAATTGAATTTTCTTATTGTTTTTATTATTAATACAAAAAATTCTAAAAAATATTGAATTTTGGAATTGTTGACAAAAAAATATATATAATCAACGATAGTAATCGAAAAAGTGTGCGACGAGACAGTGGCATCAGATGCCACATGACATCTTTTTTTAAAAGTTAAATATAAAATAAAATAATTAATTTAATATACATAGGATATATACATCAACTGTGAAGGGGGGTGTCTATCATGGCACAAACATTGACACTGTTGCAATGGCGAGGGACCCAGATAAATCAACTCCGCAAGGTCAAATTCCACCAAACTGCCGAGGGCTGCCTGCCTCCATTAGGAACGATCATGAGAGAGACGATCATGAGAGATAGGTACCGAAATCGACTACGAAACGAGATGAGCTCGAAACGGGACTTCACGCCGATCCCAATGAACCAATTCAAGTCAGTATGACTATGCTTGTATAGATGTTACACGCAACCGACAGATTTCTTAATTATCCAAAGGAAAATTTGGATAGGGGACGTTTAACGTTTATCCATTCAAAATACCCCGTTACCAAAAAAACAACTGACCACTAATTAGTTATATATATATAGAAACTTGATCAATAAGGGAAAGCCCAACCAGATTCAACGGTCTTCTTCGTAATGAACACGGTTTTCACATCTGACATGGGTTGTAATCCTCCAAAACCTTGTTGCAAAAAGGAAGTCTTTCCGATAAAAACTTATTAGTAACACACCCTGTAGTGAGAAATCTCGGAAATTTGCCCCGAAAAACGCATTCATTCCCCTTAAGGTGCAATCCTAACAGGGTCACGCGGGTAAAGCGAGGTTTTCCGGATGTTTTTGAGGGCGCAGAAGAGCATCACCACCCGCTCCAACCCAACTCCAAATCCCCCGTGCGGTGGAGCACCGTACCTGCATACGCCATCCCGTGGAATCCGCTCAGAGATCTAGAGGCAAAGCCCGCCGACAGAGAAAGCGGAAACTCACCTGAATGAATCGATGTAAGTGGAGATCGTCTTCACATCGATGCCGCATGCCTGAGCACGCTCCTCCAAGAGCTCTGGGACATGGATACGTTGAGCTCCTGATATGATCTCCTCACCTGGAGAAGAGGAGAAGAATCCAAACTCGGTGTCGATATGATGCAGCAGCCAACAAGCTATGGAACTCGAAATTAGGACGCTTACCTCGGATGAAGACATCGAAAGAGTTACTGTAAAGAGGATTGTCCGCACAAGGCATTGTGTAGAATGGCCTCACTGACTGAGGATAGCGATGCAAGATGTAGAACTCGGTGCCGTACCTTTTTGCCAATGGAGAAAACATCGGTGTCAGAAACAAGTTTGTGATTGCGCGGATGCAAAACCTGAAAGCAATAAGGGGGTGAAAGTAATTATCAATCGAGAGAGATAGAAGGCCAATTACTTCTCCAGAACAAGCTGGCCGAGTTTCCTCTCAGATTCCGTGTTTAGGTCACCAAGCGGATCAATCTCCACACCAGCTTCCTGAAGAGACATTAACATTTCCAATATTGTCACATAAGCCATAGAGAATTATCAATTCACCCAACTCTTTTCATGGTACACAAAAAGACGGTACATACCTTGAGCATTTGAATCCCTTCTTCAAAAGTCAATCGCAATGTTTTTGGAAGATACTGCAGTTTAGCTTTCCATCATCAGAAGGCAAATTCCAAAAGAGAAAATCTCTCTCTCAGACTTCAATTCTAAACTCAACAAGAACTGATACCTTCAAGGGTTCAAAGGGGTACTGCCTTCCAACAGCTTCTAGCTCCTTCTTACACTTCTCATTCAAACTATCGAATATGTATACAAATAAACGGTCCACAATGTCCATTACCTGAACAAACAAGTAACATAAGCACATCTGACAGAATATCAATTCTTCTACGGATCATCTAAAGATTTACCAGCCAATGTTACCTCAGAATAGTGTTTATAAATCTCCATCTCCACATCAAGACCTATGAACTCGCACAGATGCCTATGTGTGAATGAGTCCTCAGCCCTGAAGACATGACCTATCTCAAAGACACGCTCAAAATCACCACATATAGACATCTGCTTGTGAAGCTGAGGAGACTGAGCCAGACATGCAGGTGTCCCTTTGTAGTCAAGCCTAAACACTGCAGAACCCCCTTCACTACTTCCTGCTATAAGTTTTGGGGTGTGAATTCCGACAAAACCCTCAGACAGCAAGAATTCCCTGAATGCCTGCACAATTCTCCCTAGTTAAGTCACTGGACAAAGATAAGAGAGCAAACAGACTCATTCACAGTAAGACAGACTCCTAGGATTCAGCTCCCATGGTTGTGGAGTTCTACATACATGAAATGTTACAAAGGTAACATCACATGGGGAAGAAACAGTACCACATGTTATGTAGGAAAACCTTATGAGAAGGGTTTCATTATGTGAAAGAGAGAAAGCTTACAGTTTCAACTTGACATTGAATGCGGAATATGGCTTGATTAGCAGGTGTTCGGGTGTCTAGAACCCTATTGTTCAAACGTGTATCCTGATTGACACGGACTAATTGTTCCCCTGCCTGCATCCGTCACAAAAAACAGCAATTCTTGAAATTCAATACAAAAAAAGGTGCCATTTTGAGACATTTCAATACCTGAAGAGCTCTTTCAATCTCTACTTCGCTTCGTGCAGCATCCTCCACGTTAAGGGGTAATGTGGGCAAGGCTTTGTTGACACAATACAACTTGCTCACTTGAATTTCAACCTAACAAAGCACTCATCCCAGAAATATATCACCCATTCAGCCTTTGATCGGTGAAAGTTGAACCGGATGCAAGCGTGATGCAGAAACAGACCTGTTGTGTGGTGCTTTTGAGAGGCTCTTTAGGAAGAGAGACGACACCAATGACATCGACAAATGACTCGCGATTCAAACGCCTCGCGAAATCCACCATGGTACTGCTCACTTTCTTCTCCTCCGATTTCGACGCCACACACTGTACCGTGAATCCCCTCTTCCTCACGACCAAGAACACCATGTTCTTCCCCACAGCACGGGTCGAATGCACTCTCCCCCGGATCAGAACCTCCTCACCCTTCATCCCCTCCACTAAATTCTTCACCTCCGTCCACTCCCTCCCCTCGACGGCCGCTATCCATTTCCCGGCGCCGGAATCCGGCGTCGACTGCAACTCCGTCAGAGTCACCTCGCCGTAGTTGTCGGAGTGAGGGTCATCCTTTACAGAAAGAGACGCCGTGGCGGCGGCAGCCCTCGCGGCGGCTTCCTCCTGGCGGCGGCGTAACTTCTCCTGCTTCGCCGCTTCCTTCTTTGCCGCCTTCTTACTCACGGTGTTCTCTCCGCCGGCTTCCTCCGCCGGAGGATTTTGCTCATTCTTCTCCGCCGCGGTGGCTGACGGGACTCCGGATTCCGATGACATGACGTCCTAATGTTTCCGATTGATCAAATCTCAAATGTTAGGGAGAGCAAACGCGTTTCCTTCAGCAGCTGGAAGCCCTAATATTGTCAACCAGTATGAAAAACACGAGGAAACCCCAATATTATAGATAAATTTTACTTCTGACCCTAAAGCTTGATAAATCGTTTTGATCCCCCCCGTTTGCATAATAATTTGAAATGCATTATGAGTGTTACTGTATCTAATATTATAATAACTGCATACCCATAGTGGTCGCATACATCACATTGGTTAACAACAGATTACAGACATATACATTGTTTATTTACATCAATATCAAAATTTTGTTAATAAAAATTGTACATAAAAAGACAAGAGAAGGAGATAGAAATAAAAAAACATAGCACTTATCTATTATGTAAAAATGTAATTGTTTGAACAAGTAACAACTACATTGGTGGTAATATAACTATATTAATTACTCGTTCAAAAAATTATCGGTAGGTATAAGAAAAAAAGAGTATCACTTAATTCAAGTCGCACAAAAAAAAGCCGTATAATTTTTTTTTTATAAAAAAATATTATTAAAATTTTATATATTTTTTAAAATTAAATGTTCAATTATTAAAAAATTATTTTTATTGGGAATGATGTGCTTCTATTTATACTCATTTGTATTTTTATTAGAAATTTTATTTTTCTTGTGGGAAAAATCAACAAAAAAATCTCAAATTCTCAAAAAATGCACCACAAAAAATTTTCAATTAAAAATTTGTCACATAAATATTTTTATTCAAAAAATAATTCTAGATTAATATCTACAACTACAACGGTTTTTTCTAGCATCTTGGACGTGGAATAAAACATATATAATAATAAGACATATATTTCCAATTTTGGTTGAGTTGAGAGAAAGGTAATTGATATACAAGGTAAAATAGTAAAACTCATTTGTGTTCTAGCTTTTATACGTAAGGAAAAATGGGGTTTGTAATGATTTTTATATTATATTGGGGACAAAATTAAACTAAAGTATAAATCTAGGGTTAGGGAAAAAATAAAGGGCACTGTCTCTGGTCTCTACCCACAAATTTTAAAAAAATAATATGGAGATGTTGGATATGGACTTACATTCAGCCCATTGGAAAAGAAGGCCCCTCGTGAGTTTTATTTCTGAGGGCGGCATTTTTTTTAATGGAAAATTTAAATAATAAACAAAATATCACCATTTATATATATATATATATATATATATATATATATTTCTACAAACTAACTTTCTAAGTAATAAAGCATACAAATTTGGTGAGATTTTAAACTAATTCTCTATTAAAATTTCTACTCTTTTTCTCTTTTTTTGTGATTTGTAAGGCAATAAATAATAAAATCGGGAGACGGAGGATATATATACATTGAGAATATATTTTCGTACACGTTGTGATAAAATTTTGTATATTTCCTTTGAAAAAAAAAACAACAAGAAAAAGAAACGTACGGTTTTCTTGTGCGGATAATTTAATTTTAAAAATTATAAATAATCTATTTTATCAGATAAATTTCATTTTTTATTAGATCAATTTTTTTTCAAATTTAGATAGTTCTGTGAAATGAGAGAAAAACGTGTGTTTTGTTCTGAATTTAAAATTTAAATTCGGGAGAGAGAATTTATATTATAAATTATATTGGCATTCCGACTCAAAAATTCACATGAAGGATATTTCGAATGAACGAACATACGTTCTTTCCATGACTTGGATTATCAGTATTTTATTGGCCTGGTACATTTGCTGGAGTGTTTTAATAGAAGGACACGTGTTAATATTTTATTGGTGTATTGCTTTTCCCACTTAAAAACGAAAGGACATTTTCCATTTTGAGAGAAGATAGAAATAAAAATATGGAGCTAAAAAACAAGGGCGAAGACTACTGAGCGAGAGCTTCTCATTTCCGGTCGTCGTGATCGTGGTCGTGGTCGTGGTCAGCCTCCCTCTTTCCC